TATTACCAATGGACCGAAATTAGATTTGACATATAAGCAAATGGAGCTTACTCTGGTTGAATTTAAACATTCAATAGAAGAAGGAGATACTGTTTTGTTTTATTTTGCTGGGCACGGAACACAATGGGAAGTATGTATCAACAGCTTTGAATGCTAAAAGAGACGAAGACAGAATAGTGAAAAAACGTTCATAAATCTAATTTTATTTCCAATGCAACTACCCCCCCCCCTCCTCCCATCTCTTGATGGAAGACCTCCAGGAAAGTCATCTGTTTTCCATAAGAGCACCATTTTTGAAATTTTTGACGCTTTTGCGTGATACAAGAGGGGTCTTCTATTACGGGAGGGGAGTTATATGAAAGAAAGACCAATCAGTCGCATTCCTAAATTTGACATGTCTACATCATTTGCTTTTCTTGCAAATTATGGTAAAAGGTACATCCAGAACACTACTGTTGACATGAACAGATAAAGGCTCATATGGCACTGTTATTGTCGTTGACTCAGTCTCTCAATGATGAGTCGATCTTAAAAGTTATATAATCTATTATATCATTTACAGAACAAACTATTAATATTGATAATTTTAAAGCTTTTAGTTGAACCTTCATTAGAACATCATCGATAATCTTAAAAAACTGAAGGTTCCACTCCTTGTCTAAAACAAACTGAAAGAGTTATTGAAGGTAGTATGGTACTTGCATCCATATAAAGCTTTGATATAATATAATCATGAAACCAACAAAGTAAAGTCAAATACAAGTCATCGAATATGAAGCTATTAAATAGAATGTATCAAACATCTTCGAAAGATGCATAATTTCATATACCTATTAGACAGCAAGTCGAATTTTTCATGTTTTATCATCAGTGGCCAGCATCGAGATTTATTAGAAACCACTATAGTCGTTATATGTCTTCTTTTTATGCTTTCATTTCGAAACACTCACAACAGAATTAGATTTATATCTGAAGGATAAACTAAACAGCGTACGAAAAGTTAAATTCCTGTCTTTTATGCTGACGCAACCAAACTTTATGATCAGAGAACGTATTTAAAGGAAAAATACTCAGCAGGTATTCCGATTCGACTTTTTTATATCATGTTAATACATCATTTGAATATGAAAAACGTCTGTTTCAGTGTACTATTTGTGGAAAGTGAAGAGTAGAAAAAGCACCGAAATTTAAGTCTAAACAGTTAGCCTCTTGTCCAATTATTCGCACTACAAAATTGATAAAAGTTAAATGATAAAGTGTGAATGGCTTTTTCATATCTGCTAGTTACTACATTGCGCAATGAAATGAATTTCGTCAGTCAGATTTTTTTAACTTAAAGCAGTGTGCATGCATATCTTATTTTTGTCTCTAACTAATTTAAATGTACTCTGTAATACTGTGCTGTGTAAAGTATGATTATCTATTGTTCATTTAAAAAAAAAAGGCAGGTGGGCATTCTTCAAATAACTTTTGATAGAAACAAGATAGAGAGCTACGATTTTCAACGTTGGAAAGAGTAGATAAAGATGCATTAAATCCTATATTACAGTGGATCTTTCTAAGATGTTCTTTAAAGTTTTTTGAATCGATTTTCTAAAAGAAAGAGTGATTTTTTTCACAGAAATCGATAGAAAAATCGGTTAAGAATCTCGCGTAGAATGCCTAAAATGCTTGAACGACTAAATCTAAAAGTTTGGGCCTTGCGCAATTTTATAGATCTTCAATTAGCGATTCTAATGCATATCTGATTATTGAAAATTCACTTGGATCACTTTACAAAGTACGTTGGTTTTCAAAAATGTCTATTTAAGTCCTTGAAAAAACTAAGACAAATTGCCGTATGATATGCAGTTTCATGCATCTATATCTTTCTTCCCAACGATAAAAATCTCAGCGCTGTATCTCGTTTTTATCAAAATTTATTGGAAACATACGCACCGACCTTTTTTTGAAATAGGCAATAGTATCGGACAAACTGTGATATGGATCAGACTATTCCTTATACTTAATTATGAAGACAAGCCGCGGATTTTTCTGTAGACTTATACCGATCGCAGTTTAGAATGTCAAAAGACAAGTGCAGGAAATGTTTGCATCTCGATAACTAGCGTACTGTTTCGACTACGGATAATGTTACAGGTTGCAGCAGTCTAACTTCTATGGAATCTGTTTTGCATAAAGGAGCGAGACAAACTAGAAGGCTGGTTAATTCTTCAAAAAACTCTTGTGAACCGCGATAATCATACGAAAATACTTGTGCCAGAGATACGAAAGTTTTCGAAACTTAGAGACTTATGAATGCATTCATGAGAAGTTTATTTAGAACAACATTTGTTCAAATAAAAATAGGTAAAAGTAAAGTCTAGCAGATAATAGTTTTTCATATTAAAACTCCTGCTCCACATCATTTCTCTCTGAAATGTATATAGACTTCCATCAGTACTATTCAACTATGAAAAGTCTCATTATGTTCAAGTTACTCGATCATTTACAAGGAAAAATGCATTATTATTAAATGCAAAGACATAAGTTACAGCATAAGTTTTAGTTAAGTAACACAAATGGATAATAATCATCTCATCCGTAAGTAATATTTGAATACTTACCTTCGTCAACCAACTAGCTTTTCCAAAATGATTCCATTGTTACAGATAAAACCTATGAAAATAGACTCAGATCGAATTTTCAAGCGCTCAAAGTTGAATAGAACATTTGATGTTGCAATCGAAACTGAAGCCAGATTCTAATTTAGTAGATTTGAGATGGTACTTATAATAGCTTACATCTTATCGGTTGAGAAAAGATTACAACTTTTCATTAGTTTAAAATAAAGGTGTATGAGATAGAAAAATACTATATGGTATTATGTAGAGAATGTAATGGTTTGAACAATTTACAACTCTTTATAATTAAGTATAGAGATGAGTTTGATGAAAGCCTACATTATATGCATAGCAATGGATTGCTTAACAATAGCCTTGAAACGAAGAACTACCTTATCACTTGGCCTTTACTTTTAACTATTTTTGTCTACGACAATATTTTTCGCAAAACCATACTTGCTCAGAATACATTGACAAATAGGTGATCTTTTCGAAGTCCAGCATTTATGTTTAAAACAATGATGAGAATATATTGTTGAACGTCATTCAAAGGATCAGTATGAAGAATCAACACCGACGCTAACGCACTGATAAATCGGTCATTCGCGTATACAATCTGATAGGATGAAGTGAGTCATTGTTTTTGACATAGTAAACTAGTTGCGTGATAACTTGGTTATTCAGAAAGTCAATTACGGACGACATGATTTAGTGATGCGACAGAACAATCTTTCTCCACATGCATAAATCAAAAAAATGTAAAACTCAGTGTCGGACAAATGTACTTCAGTCAATGAATGATCGTTTTGAAAAAAAATTTTCATCTTCTCAAGTAGAGTTGTATGTTTTATTGTTTTAGGATCAAAATTTTTTGATACCATGCGATGATGCTGACATTGCAGTTAAAGGTGTAAAAAATCGTGCAATTCTTGCACAAAAATTGTTGGATGAATTAACCGATCGAAATCCATTTGTAACCATATTTTTATTGGACTGTTGCAGACTGTATTACTTACGTGATCGTAATTTAGAACAGCTACGTGCTCGTGATGAAAATTCAGATACTCCAAAATCAAGTGGCTTAAAAGAAATGCACCTTAGTGCAGGCTCACTTATTGCTTTCGCATGTGCACCTGGAGCTATAGCTAATGATTTGGATGAAGGACAGCGAAATGGTTTTTTTACCAAGTATCTGTTACAACATATTGGAACTGCCAATGAAGATATTCGAATGGTATTGGCGGATGTTACCAATGGTGTAATTGAGGAATCTGGAAACAAACAAATCCCATATTACAGTAGTGTATTAACACACGAAAGGATATACTTGTGTGACCAAGAACCAGGTAATTACGCAGTAGAAACAAAATTCAAAATAGTAGGAGAATAGATTTCGGTTTTTTTTTAATGAGAAATACTGTGCCGCAACTAACAATTCAATAGATCTATTTCTCTTTAGCCTTCTGAAAAACAGCTTATGTAAACTGAATACTGGAAATTAGGGTATGGGATATGAGTATGGACGAGTGTGAGTGTCAAGAGAAGACTCAGGCTACACTCACACTAACATTTCACCCACATACACACCCGAATTTTTTTCTACACGCACATAATTCAAACTGAATAAGTGTTGCATTATATATGATTCGTGTTATATACGGAAAAAAAGCAATTCACTCGATAACTAAATTTAGTTTCTCACCTAAATTTGAAGTCACATTCACTAAAAATCATTCAAAATTTTAGATAAAGATGTAATGAGATACCAAGAAACTAGCAGCTGAAATCAGATTCTTTCGATTTCTGTGATTTTTCTATTTAGAGTTGGCTAAAATTTTAAAAAAAGGCCAGCTGTTTTCCTCTTGGTTGGTGTGCTAATAGATTGATCTCTTCGAGTTAATAATAATACGTAAAATTGAAAGATCAACTTCCAAATCATGAATAAAAGATTTTTCGATTTCACCAGTTTCACCCTATTATATTTCATGGTTCTGGTTTCGGTTTTGACTCAGTTCTCGCTTTTTTTGTCTTGGAACCGTCCAACTCTGACGATTACTTGTACGTAATTATCGAATTTCTCAGCAAAACAACAAATCAATTTTTAACCGTCGTAAAAAATACAATATTGTGCAAGACATGCAACTAGATTTTTTCCTTGATATGTGCTAGATTAGGCCAGTTTTTATTATCCACCTATTGAGCTCATTTATGTATTAGTTTTCTGAAAGTTTAAGTTTTATTTTGATCTATATTGTTGCGTGATCATAGAAAATTTTCGAAGATGTTACAATTAAAAAAAGGACACAAGAAACTGTGTATGATCCGTCTATATTAAAGTTTAAAATTGTTATTAGAAGAAAAAATAAATCTACCAGTGATAAGACATAAAATTCATTAAATTGTTTTCATTATCACAAAAATGGATAATCAGTGCTAATTGAATAGAATCGATTACTCTATGAAGGAGTTTATTTGCCTTGTCTGTTACTATTAAGATGCTTTCACATTTATCACAATGATGAATAAATCTTTGGATTTGTCTCTGCTTCTACTAATTTTGGTCAGAGATAGTTAAATAAATAGATTATACGTTAAAGTTGAATATAGTTCATTTCATTCATTCTTTCTGTTTTTTTTTCTATTGTGCAGTTAATTTAGTCTATTTTGCATGAGTGGATATTTTCAATAAATCAAGTGTCTTTGCTAATTCCGTTTTTGTATATATGAATTCGATCGTTTATTTACAGGTTGAATTGTGAATTTTTTCATTTAAACTTTAGTTTTTTCATCTTGCATTGTTTCCTATTAAGTTTCTCGAATGTTTATATATTTTTCTTTTTCACTGACAGTAGGTACCCAGTCAAATGAATAATAGTAAGATGACCATTAAAATGGATGTCGATTCACTATTAAACCCTTTTATGGTTTCAGAGTTTCCAAAAACTATATGATTTTCTAGTCTCTGATTACATACATTCATATTTTATTTTTCTGAATCGTACAATGTAACTTTATACACTATTAATAGATGTAATCATCCATCACTACGGTAAGAGATGATCGGACTCTTGAAACTCTTTTGTGGTGGAAGAGAACGGTGAAAAAATGTTCTCTGTGGTACTCATGCAAGAAAATTCCTGGTTAAAATCAGATTAAAATGGATCAAAAACTGATTGAAAATCGATCATAATCATGGACTGTTAATTGATTTTCAATCAAAAATACCTCCCAAAAAAAATTTCATTGATTATTATGATTAATCTCGATTATAATCGATCAAGGCTTAATGAAACGCATCAATTTTAATTAATATTTCTACATGATACATAATAAACCCTCAGCTAATTTCATTGGTTTGCACAAGCTATAATCGATTTTGTTTTGATCAAGTTTCAATCGATTATAATCGAAATTAACTGTAATAATCAATGAAATTACGATTTTTCGGTGACTTTTGAGTAAATTCTATTGAAAACACATGATTACAGTCTATTCTTGATCCATTTTTAATTGGCTATAATCTTACTTTAATTTTAATTTTTCTATATGGACAGTGTGCATTTAAAAAAGGGAAAAATTTCTAAGTGTTTCCTCTCTGTGTATAAAGAACAGTTCGATTATGATTAGCATAGGAACGATATAGGAAAAGTACTCAAAAGACGTGCATCAAGATGTATGGCAGAAGTCAATGAAGAGAAAAGGGACGCACAGGCAAGATGTAAGTTGATCAAATTTAAAAGAAATATTCAACTTTTTTCAACTGATTTTTTTTCGCTAACTGTCATTAAATACGAACTACTGAACTGCTTAAAAATATTTGCAACCGAAGTCGGTTCAATCATGACGAGTGCCTGATAAACGAAGCCCTTCAGATATAAAAGCTTCGTAACATATCGTTCAAGCTAAACATTCAGAGAATTCTCATATCAACTATCACTTTATACCAGAGATATCCACAGAAAAGGGCATTGTCTTTATAATCTGTGATACCCTGCAATCTAGAAAATCAGTTTCCGAGTGTTTATCCTGAAGAAGAGATTCTTTTCAGTCCTTAAGAGTCATAAATTAATCGTAGACTGTAGAGCGCGATACTAACTGATATTTAAAGTTTTCCTCTTGAGATCTACATCCGAATTAGTATTGCCTGCCAAGTGTGAGAGTTAAAAATCCAGAATGCCAAATATCAGAATCCAAAAAGTGACAGAATTTGTTTTTGAAATCCACAATAATTTTCAAGCATCAGTTTTAACTGATTAAACTACTTTTATGTTCAACTTAGCGTTATTGTTTATTTCGAGAAAATTACTTAAAATAAAACAAAAGATAATGTACATCAAAATAAAAGTTACTCAAGGATAAGAACTTCGAAAATACATATATTTCGATATCAATTAGCACGTTGTTTTTTTTTTGATACAATAGTTTTCGTTGAATATAGTTTTAGTTTACTGGTAAGGAGTTTTATTTAATGTACAATGATTTTGTTGATCATTGTATAAATTTTTCAATAATCGAATGGGAGAAGATAGATAAAAAATCTATGCAAGAATAAAGAAAAAGTAATTTGTTGTCTGGACGGACTAAGAGAATGAGATCCTCAACTTCTTTCGAATCATAAAATATGGTTGAATATGTCAAAAAAAAACAAGTGAAAACAGAAAGTATCTGAATTTCTGGATTTTTCTGGAAAATCCAGGAAGATCTAGCAACAAGAAATCGAATGAACATGAATAGAATAAAAGAATATGTGTATAACTAAAATGACTCTCAAAAATTTATTTATATTTCCTTGTCTAGTAGTTTGTCGCACTATAGGAAAACATAAAGTTACGGTTTCTATATCATTTATTTCGGATGATGACAATATTTGCTTAATATGTCTGCTTCTGATTTTAGTGCTATATCAAATACGCGTCTTCTTCTTGTTGACAACTGTACTGAATAGAATACGTTTAAATAAAACAATGTTTTTATAATACAATGGCGAAACAGTTTTTTCGATGCGACAGGTTGTGAAAAATCACCGTGTTAGACATCTTTAGTGTTCAACATAAATCTAAGTTCTTTTCCTTGATTACCATCATTATCATCATTTGTTATCGAGAAAAAAATGATTGTTGAAGAACCGAACTGAATCCAGAGGAAGTATTCGGAATTCATTATGAAAATAAGAACGTATTTCAATGTAATATAACAGTCGTGTATCTAATGGCGTACCCAGGGGTAGAGTGGGGTCGTGCTGAGTCCATCAACCATCAACCGCTGATGAAAATCATTTTATTTTTTTGAAACGATAAAATCAACAAAATCCAAGGTACTCACACAATTTCTTCCTTCTTGTTTCCTGCTCAGTTCATATTAAATTGATCACTGATCGCACATGTAATAACTCTATGTAACTGATTTCTCTTATACAGAGACATATTTTGTATGATGATAATAATGATGGATAGATTGTCATTTGAACAAAAGATTTGTTTTTCCTATCAATTCTTCAGCCGAGATACACGGACAATTTCTCAATGACGAGCGTAAATAAGATGAGACTAGTAGTTTGGGCAGCGCCCAACCACCATTCAACAATTTGTTCAAAAAGGACATGCACTTTTCTAATGATAAAGAAAGTGAAAGTAAAACGAGCGTAAATCACTCTCACTCCTATTTTGCTTCCTATTGTAGCTAGTCTCGTGTGTAATTGAAGAACCGACCAAAGAACATTCTATAGTTTACTTCTAGAAAAATAAATGAAAACTCTATTGTACTGAGTCTAACTGATTGAAAGTCATTTTATGTGTAAATTATTCCTTTTAGTCATGTTTTGTTAAAGTTAACATGTAGATGAACTTTTATCGCGAAGCTTAACTTATACTTGTCATATGTACATTATATTGTTTGTTGACGAGTAGTGAGTCTCTGTAATTGTCGTCATCATTATTATTGATGACAGAATCAATCTTGAAAGGAAAAAAAAAACTGATATTATAATCTTATAGATATAAATCATTTGTTGCTTCACGTATGAAGCGCTTCATCTCATCATCAGTCGAGATTATTGTTATTGTAATAATAAGTAAAATTTATTAGATCGAATAAAGTATACATATATTTTCTACATGATATAATCTATTTGAAGATAAAGCTCTTTTTCTCTAGAACTCCTTTTTGATATCGACAATTTGAACTTATCATATATTGTTTTTTATGATAATATGCACAATTTGTTTTTCAAAACTAAAGTGATATATTTGTTACTCTCTGTCGCTCTGTCTATATAGCAATAAAACGAAGAAGAAACTTGCAGAAAGTGAAGACTTCTTATAAGTCATGTTTGAACTATCGTACAATAAAGCCGAAAGTAAGAAAGGCTCATACTGATTTATTTTCGAAGGTATACAAAATAAAACGACTTGAGTTATTTGTTTGTTAAACATACGTGAATTTTTGATATTTACTGTAGACGTAAAGGTATTATGCGTGATATAAATATACATTTTGAAATAAGAAATTTTTTTTTTGATTTGCAAATAGTTAAATCACCTAGTATAAATAATCTTGATAAATGAGGATTATCGATTTACAAATGATTCAAATTCAG